CTGTTCAGTTGCCTGGGACTGACTGTTCAGTTACCTGGGATTGACTGTTCGTCTACCGGGGAATGGGCCTGCGCCAGTCCCGTGCTAAAATTAGCACAGTCCCACGTTATTTTTAGCGTGGGACTGACTGTTCGTCTACCGGGGACTGGGCCTGCGCCAGTCCCGTGCTAAAAATTAGCCCAGTCCCACGCTATTTTTAGCGTGGGACTGACTGTTCAGCTACCAAGGACTGACTGTTCATATCCCAAGATCGGGACTGGTGCTAAATTTAGCTCAGACCTGGGCTATTTTTAGCTCCAGCCCCGACCATGGGACTGCTGCACTCAGCACCGATCACCCGGCCTCTCCCCTATAAAGAAGAGACTGTGCCACTCAAGAAGACAGAAGCCCTCACTTGCGGGGATGCGGAAGCACTGGCAGGACGGCGAGAAAGAAGGAGGATTGAAGCTGCTGCGCTAGAGCAAGTAGGAAAAGGGGCAAGACCAAGGCAAGCAAGAAGGAGGTAAAGGGGCGGGGCTGCTCGGGGAAGTACGGCGGTCTTGGTTCCCACTAGGGCCACCTTGCTTTCTCCCCTGCCTCCTCTCCTATCTTCTTCTCTCTGCTCCCCCCGCTCACCCTCTTCTCTTTCCTTCTCCCCGCTCGCATTTGTCCTGCTGGCTTTTACTGTATGAGGCCTGTTTAACCCCCGCAAGCCCATTAGCTCATGGCACGGTTTTGATCTGCCATTGGCCGCCCACGCGCACTGTGCCTGAGGGCTGTTGATACTGTGTGCCCACGCGCACTGTGCCTGAGGGTTGTTGATATTGAGCGCCCACGCGCACTGTGCCTGAGGGTTGTTGATACCGTGTGCCCACTCGCACTGTGCCTGAGGGCTGTTGATATTGAGCGCCCACGCGCATTGTGGATGAGGGTTGTTGATACTCTGCGCCCTTGCTCACCGTACTTAAGGGTTGATGAAACTGTGCACCCACTGTACTTAAGGGCTATTGATCCCGTGCGCTCACTTGCTCTGAGTATGAAGACTGTTGATAGTAGGTGCCGGCGCATGCAGTGTCAGAAGACACTCGATCCATGTACCCTGCCGTATCGCCTTCGAACCAGAGTGCTAAACCTCGCTGTGTCTGGGTCAAACCTACCAAAGGTTGCTTGATCAGTGTATCACATTGTATTTTGAACTGTGTGTCAGCAAGCACTCGATTCATGAAACATGATTGGCCGTGCCAATAGGCACTCGAACAAAGCATAGTGATTGGCTGTGCCAATAGGCACTCAAACAGAGCTTAATGATTGGCTGTGCCAAAAGGCACTCGAACAGAGCTTAATGATTGGGTGTGCCAATAGGCACTCGAACAGAGTATAATGATTGGTTGTGTCAAGAGGCACTCAATCCGAGTATGTTGATTCGTTGTGCCAAGAGGTACTCAAACTGAGTATGTTGTTTCACTGTGCCAAGAGGCATTCAAGTTGAGCATAATGATTGAACACTCAAGCAGAATATAATGATTTAAAATGTGACTGTGCGCACTTGAATTTCAGTGCGACACTGCGCACCCAATCTGCAAACCAAGACTCTTATCGATCTTGGATAAGTGCGATACTGCGCACCCGATCTGTAATCCCTGCATTGACGATCCTGAGTATCTGCGACTGTGCGCACTTGAACTTAAGTGCGACACTGCGCATCTGGACAACAAAACTCGGCTTTAATGATTCCGAGTTAAGTGCGATGTTGTGCCACCAATCTGTCAATTCTTGAGGACTGTACCCACGCAGCTTTACTGGGTACTAAGTCGATTTTGAAGACTGTAACCGCGCAGTCCCACTGAATGTCATGTTGATTTTGAGAACTGTACCCGCGCAATCTCACCATACGCGATGCTGATTTTGAGAACAGTGTCTGCGCAGCCTCACTGCATTTCAAGCCAATTTTGAGGGTTGTGGCTGCGCAGTCTCACTGTATGCCATGCCGATTCTAAGGGCTGTATCTGAACTGTGCGCACTGCGCACCATGTCTGGAGGCTGACTTTGAACTCATGCGTACCAGATCTGAAAACTGTGCGCCCACGCGCACCTCGTTGATAAGTCATATGTATCCGTGCGCCCAGGCGCGCTCGGCAGAAGGAGTTACCGGTTCTGAAATTGTGCGCCCACGCGCACCCAGCTGATAAGTCAAACATATCCGTGCGCCCAGGCATGCTCTGCAAAGAGTGTTACCGATTCAAATGCTGTGCGCTCATATTAAGGGCTGATTTTCGGGCCAGATGTTGTGCGCACATGCGCACTATAATTAAGGGCTGATTTTCGGGCCGGAAGTTGTGCGCACATACACACTATAATTAAGTGCTGATTTTCGGGCCAGATGTTGTGCACATATGCGCACTATAATTAAGGACTGATTTGCGGACCAGATGTTGTGCGGACATGCGCACTATAATTAAGGGCTGATTTTGAACCAGTGTGTCAACAGGCACTCAGATCTGAGAACCTGGCCTTGACCAGCGTACTTTGACCATGAACCAATGCCAACAAGCACTTGATCTGTGAACTTGGACCTGATGAATTTGAGTAAGTGCAACAGCGTGCACTCAACTTGTTGACTTTGCCTTCGAACAGCGGGCACTATTGAGTCTGAGCACTCCACTGTTGAGTATGAGCACTCCGCTGTTCACCTTGCCAATCATTGATTCAGAATCCCGCAGTGGACATCGTTGAGTTTGGGGCTGTAAGTCAATGCACGCTCCGCTGTTTGGCTTTGTCAACTATGATTTTGTGCCCTGCAGCGGACATTGCTGAATTCTAGACCAATCGGCAGTATGCACCCCG